AGCACCTACAACCAGGCCAATAATCCCGATGATTAACAAAATCTAGCACTAGAGGGAGGCTGAACACATGTTCTGCTCTCTTTGGCCTTTTCAGCTTCTCCAGTCATTAAAAGGCAGGTGATTTAAAGCAAACCCAGCACCAGCAGGCAGAGCCCAGCCTCTGAACAGGAGATGAGCTATTTAAGACAGCAACCTCCAGTGGCAAAATTCATGCTCTTTCCTCCCCAGCTATTTGCAAAGATGTGCACCCAAAATTAAGAAATAAATTTTAAAAAACAAAACAAAAAAAAAACCCAAAACCAAACAAAAACAATTCCTGTGTCCCGGCTGTTCCTTCAGCCAGTGAGTCAGAGCCCACAGAGGCACCACCACCACCGCTCGCAGGGAGCCGAGTCAGACAGCGAAACACCTGGCAGCCCCTTCCCTAACAAGGATGAGGCTCCCTTCTCTTGCATCTATCAACACATTCCCACCTTCTCCCAGGCACGAGCACCAAGGAGAAGTGAGACAGGTCTCCTCGGAACAGCCTCGCGGAGGAAGGCATGCACAGAATGCGCTTCAGCTTTTCTCCTTCCAAAATTCCCTGGCAATAGGAATTGGAGCCCTTTGGCTGATTTTCTGCACATCACAACAGGATGATACGACCGGTGAGTTCAGTAGGTCTGAATGTGGTAACAGCTCCCTGCCCACGTGGCTGCAGCCCTGCAGCCTCTCCAAGCATAAATTATATATTATAAATTTATATATTAAAATTCTTTATATTGCACTTCATGCAACTATTCAAAATCTGATTTTTTCTTCAGTTTAACCCCCAACCTAAAGCCACTTCTTGACATCTGCTTTGATATATCCCAAATTGGTCCTATGCCCAGGCACTGATGGTGTTTAGTCATTAATTTGCAGTTATTACAGTAATGAGGCTCTGGGATGCACCAGGCAGAATTGCTCTAGGACACAGGAGATCTTGGTCTTATTTTTAGCCTGCCACTGGTCAGCCTGGTGACCTAGGCAAAGCATTTTCCCTGCTCCAGCTTCCTTATCAGGAAGAAAGTGGTATTTCTTTTGTAAAGTGTTTTGTGGCCTGTCAATAACAAACACACTGGGTAAGAGCTGGGTCTAGCTGGGAAAGAGGCGCCGTCCCAGCTCAACACAGTCCTCTCCTTCCCATGCTGTAGTGACATCTCAGACCCCAAAAGAAAATCAGACCCATCTGCAGATGCAGCACGTGCAGTAGAGATCTGTAAATGGATGTTTTCCCAAGTCATCAGCTGAGGGTCACATCTGCTTTGAGCCACCCAGATCCTGCCCCAACATGAAATGCTGGGCTCTGACCCTCCCCTTCGAAGAGAACTGGTTGTTTCCAAGCCAGCAGCACCCATGAGTCCTGAGATGGCCTTCACGAGGTTGGGCATGAGACTGGGACTGGCTTTTCACACAGCTGTGCACTTCTCATCCCTGCACAGCCCTGCCTGGCAAGGAAGGAAGGAATTGCCAGAGCCATGAGGGAGGGTCCCTCTCTGTGAGCAAACAGGGTACTTGAGAGGTGGCTGATGAGAGTTTTTCACTTTTGCTTTCCCTGGCCTGGGCTGATGCCTGTTTTGAAACTAGAAGGCAAAAAAATAATAAAAATCTGCCTCCCTCCCTCCCAGATCTATCTATTTCCCCTTGACAAACAGTGATTTCATTTTTCTTCCCGTCCAGAACTTTTTTTTTGTTTCTCTTTTAAACTGAGCCCAGGCCAACGTGGCAAAAGGCTCTTTGCTCATGTCCTTATTTGTCAAACACACCATCACCACACCCTCACCACCATTCTGGGAACGAGTCCTTGGCTTCCCCGGCTGCAGCCGAAGGGGAACTTCCCAACACAACTGTCCCCCAGCCCAAACACACTCTTTTAAAAATAAATATTGCCTTTTTTCTCCTTTTTTTTTTTTTTTTTTCCTAAAAGAAAAATAAAGGCATTCCAGTTAGTAAGAAAAAAGTTTAAATTTCCTTCCCCTTTCCTCCCCACAGCCCTGCTGTGAATCCGACTATGATGGAACGAGCTGGGAAAACAGAAATTACAAGAAAATGCCAGATCTATCACAAAGGTATTTCATGACCCAGCCCTCCTCTAATTTCCATCAGAGCATAAGTCAGATACTAAAGTACCTTTTTGGATCGGATCCTAAGTGGCCAGTTCCACTGTCCAAATAGCGATCCAGAGATAAACAGGTCTATGAAAACTGGGTATTATTATTTTAACTGCTGCTCTTAAGCTACAGCTTAAACTGTAATAAGCTGTGCAGCCTTCAGCCTTCTGGTAACATTAACACACAAACTGATAATAAACTAAACATTTATCCTGCTGTCCTCATCAACTTAACACCTAGTATAAAAAGCTTTACCTGGAGCCCCACAGCACTCATACTTCATAAACTGTCATCAGCACTGTGCCATCCAGCCAGAAATTTCTGACTTAAAACTGCTGATTTGATGGAACAGATGAATTTCAATAGATCTGGAGGGCTCTCACCATGTCCATAGGGGCCTAACCATCCCAGGCAGCAGTCTCAGGTCTGGTCAATGCTTAGGAGCTTGGTCTGCTGCTCCAGACCTCACACTTAGCAGTGGGGAAACTGAGGCATGGAAATTAAATGATCTGGCATTGGAGAGCAAAATCGGCTTCTTGGAGCCCAATACAACACATGTTCCTGAGATCCCTGATTTCAGACAACCATGTCCTCACAGCAGAAGGAGCACAGTCACTATTTGTTCTGCTCCTTTAGCACAAGAACAGCTGTCCAGAGCTGAGAAAATTACTGTGTTTGATGCACAAAGCATTGGACAGCTTTCTCCAGCACCACCTGCCCTTTTCCTCCTCTCTTGGGCTTTATATCTTGCTTCAGCATGACTTTTGCTGCTCCTGAAAGATAAGAATCTGATCTTGCAACACAAAATCCTGCTGGCTCCTGACTTTAGCCCTGACTTCTGCCTGCTCCTGAGCTCCTACAGAAAATGGAAGGGAAAAGGAAGGGGAGTAGGTGACCAGAGAGCACAGATGAAAGACAGGGAGCTGTGTTTGCTGCATAAGAGTACACTGGGGTGGTGACAGGCAGGACTGCTCAGGTACAACGGGTAGGCTTACATCATGCAAAGGAATCCTGCTCTGACCAAGCTCTTGCTAAAACCCAACACTAAACACAGCTCCAGTCCCAGTTTCCCAAAGCCAGAGAGAAAAAAGGGTGTGACAAACAGCAATTCCATGAGTTCAGAGGGAAGAGTTGTCCTGCTGAGTGGTTCTACCGAGGGGCACATCCCCGTGACAGCCCCGAGTGACTCAGGGACAGTTTTGGAACTGTGGCAGGAGCAATCTCTTTTCAATAAACACACGAGGTCCTCTCTCCTTGGGTGACCTGGGAAGGGGAAGCCTGATCCTGAGGAATCCTGTGAGGCACCACGACCCCTTCCTGGCAGCCAGGCTCCCGTGCAGGCACTGTGCAGGCAGTGCCCTGCCTTTGCCAGGAGCCTGCTGCTCCACAGCTTCCCAGGGCGCTCTGGAAGCTCCTCTGCTCCCACGGGGGCCACTCTTCTCAGAGAGATAAAAGACAGAACAACACTTGCTGGGGAATTACTTCATTCCCCCAAGGCTGGGAAAAGCCATGCTCTGCACTTGGCAATGTCCCTGATGGCTGCAGCCTTTCCTGGCAAGGGAGAACACAATCCCTGTTAACCCTTTCCTGCTCAAAGGCTGCTTCCAACACTGAGCAGGAAAGGCTTTGTCACAGCATCTGAACATCTTGCCATGGGCAAGAGATCCCAGTAAGCCCATGAGGGAGGGGAATGTTCTCTTTTTCCCAAGGCACAAAGCAGACAAATTGACTCTACAGTTGGTGAGAGGGTCAGGAACTAAGTCAGGTCCTTTGAATCCTGTTTAATGCCTGCCTGCTGGCCTACTCTCCATGTCCAAACCCACCAAGGGATACAGGACTGCCATAATCCTCCAGGGCCATCAAGAGCAGCCCCATGTCTGTGGATGTTGTGGTTACAGGAGTCTCAACACCCTCAAACCTAGGCCATGCTCTCTTTGCTCTCACAACTTCTCACAGAAGGCTCTTCCAGATCTTTGGAGCCCCAGTGCTCAGGCAATTTCTAAACACTAGCATGGAGGTACTTCTGGCAAGCTCAGCCTCTCCCGTTCCTGTGCCAACACCCACACAGAGCAGAGATACAGCCTTATTCCCCAAGTATATTTCAAATTTTCAACCAGACCCATCCTCAGCCTTCCTTTTGCTCAGCTAACAAGACAAACTCTTCTGGTCTCCACTGGGAAGATCAGCTCCTCACCTTGATCACCTTGACTGCCTTGTCACAGAAGTCTGAATGCATTTCTCCAGAACGTGCCTGAGCAAACACAAACCTGGCACTGCAGGCAAACCTGCAATACCTGCACAAAAGTGTTCATATCTTTCAAAGGTGTTGAAGGTCTGTCCCTATTCACTTTGGACATCCTGTCATCACCTGATGCATCTTAGAAGTTGCATTTTCATTCAGGTGGCCAATCTAGAAGATCCAAGCCAGCAAAAATAGGGTGAAAAGGGTCTCAATTACATCACTGGAGCCTGGGCCAGGGCTTATTTGCTTCACTTAATTTTAGGCATCTAAACAAAGCACTTTTAGGATCAGATTACTGCCATAAAGTCTCTCCATGGTCCATGGAAGGACATGGCCATTCCAGAAAACAATTCATTCTGGGAAGGTTTCGCTCCCATCCACCATCACAACAGCATAAGGCAATTAGTCTTCTAATTCAAGCCGGATGGGAAAAATCCTTTAATAGCCCAGCAAGTTTTGAATGGAAATATTCCCTGCTTGGGAAACATAGCTTGCTAAAGCTTACTTGGTTATTCCTGACCCATGATTTTTAACCAGAACTTTGCCACCTCATTTTATTATCATTCATTCATTTCCACTATTTATGGATCGGTTCTGCACAAATGACAAAATTCTTGTCCTCTTACCTGCACATTGTAAGTAACATCATCCAGAGGGGGTGGTGGGGGAAAGGCACCTTGTGATGATGTGATGTTCCCAAGGTCATCCACAGGAGGGGGCGGGGGAGGAAGGAAGTCCCCTAGGAGAGAGAATGGGAGAATTTAGACTCAGCAGCATTTCCCCACATCATGACATGGATGATCGGGAGGAACACTGCAACAATTCCAGCTCTGCCCACTGGTTTGTGGCACAGGACATAAGACATTGTTTAACCATTAAATGCTCAGCTTCACCCCTCACTGCTTCCAGAGATGGCTACACAGCTCAGTAACAGTGGCAGATGGCTCAGGGCTGCTCAGATTCCACACCAAAAGGTGATGTGCCACAAGGCCTGAAGGCACCAACAAGCAGCTCCACAGATCCAAGCTGCATCTGAAACCTGCCACAGGCAATGACACAATTTGCACTAATGAACACCCTGTGTCTAACCTTGCAATGGATCCCATCCAATCCACTTCCCTCGTGTGCTAAACTATGCCCGCTCTTGTTGATCCCTATAAAGACAGCATTAGGTACTGTCCAAAAGCAGGGATTTCCTGCTGCAGAAGACACATGGAGGGCTGGAGCTGGAGTCCAGAATCTCCTGCATCCCTGCTGCTGGCAGGCAGATGCTCCTCTTCCTATAGGGACTTCATAGTTTCATGTGAAGAACTGCTGGGAAGATCACATTTTCTTCTCAGTAACAACAGCCACGTGATGGGCCAGGTGCAAGCACACATGAATCCACCTCTCTTAACTCTGGATTTTTAAAAAAGAGGGCTGATATACAACATTTCTAGAATTCAGCTTGCTCATGTTCATCTTCCAAAAGTGCTGATGGGAAGACAAAACACCACATACTGGCTGTGAAGCCATCCAGCATAGAGATAGGAGCAGAGAGTTCTCCCTAGGAATTTCACAGGATGTGGGACCACAAAGGAGAAAGAAAACAAGGACAGAGCAGCACAGGCTGCAGGGAGCAGGACATCAGGCTCTGAAAGCACCTCCTAATGGTGGAAAAAGGGCATTTGCCATTAGCACTGGATTTCTCTCCAGGGAAAGCAGCTGCCTGCAATTTGAGCCACTTTGGTATGTTTTTATTTCTTCTTATGAAGATTGATGCTGCAACTAGAGCTGTTTGCTGTTGGCTCTTGTGTGTGTAGCATCTGGGATGGAAGGTTTCAGATTAATAAAAGTGTGATATTTCACATATATAGGAACTGTTGCTTTTGGAAGGAAATATGAGCTCCCTACCTGACCCTCCAGAGCTCCATGCAGCATCACACCAGAGGCCCTCAGCACCACCCCTAAATGCCAAGGAGCGGCCTCCAAACTGCTTAGGAAGGTGCTGAGACAAACCCCTGTGATCTGCAGCCATCTGGGCCACCTGTGCCCAGGTGTAAAGCCCTAGGCTCAGCCCAGCCCAGGCACAGGCACCAGCTGGGCAGCACTGCCAGCACAGCACTTTCATGCTCTCTGCCATGGGAAACAGATGAGTCTGCAGCCCTCAAAAAGTTTTTCTCTTCTATGTCAAATCACTCTCTGAAAGACACAAACTTCCCCTAGGACTTTCAGAGATATTATTTACCAGGAAAGTAATTTCTTCCCATTTTCCCCAAAATGAACATGGTTGGGACTCAAAAAACCCCTTCTGAATCCCTAAGAAAGTATCATCCTAAATACAGATACTCAAAGACAGCTCAAAAACAACACACTGAAAACTAATTTAAGACAATCATGTTGCTCCAATACATAAAATCCCATGAAACCCACTGGCTCATGCTATTACAGAGTTCAAGATTGATTTTTTAAAAACTTATGTCCAATAATATCTGCAGTATCCTCCTCATTGCCCTATAATTAATCCAATCTTTTTATTTCAAATCATGTGAAATACAATATGAAATAAAAAGAAAAGTAGAGAGATTTTGAAATTAATATCAAAGGGGTTAGTTCTAAAAAAATGCTGGGATATTTGAGTGCTTCTTAAACTTTTCTCCTTTGCTCTGAAAATGACCCTCCAACCAGCCAACATGATTTTGAAAACAAATTCGACTCCAGCGGACACAGACTTCTCAAGATTATGCTTCAGATGATATTTCTCAGTTAGTCCTGACTCCGATGCCAAAGACTGCTCTCCCTGCATAGCACATTAGTCAGACACTCTTGCTTTATTACAACCCTTCAAGACACCTAAGGAAAATCAAGGTAGAGAATGTGCTGGAGGAGATGAGACAGGGAAAGGGGCAGGTTTTGTGCATAAAGAGAAGTCTGCATCTAACAATGACTGTTAGAACAAACATAAACAAAAGATCATTTTTGCCCCTTTGGAAGACCCACTCCTGAAAGAAATTAAAAAAAAAGCATTGACAAGATTTTTCAGAAAAGGAGCAAAGGACAGAAAAAGAGCTCTCTCCTAGAGTTTGGAAGAAAACACTTCTTTGCAGTTTGAGACAGCTGGCTCTACCACATCCCAGCCCAGCTCTCCTGACTCCATCCTGTGTTAGATAAGCTGCTGGCTCCACTCTCCCCACAAGTGGGAAGGTTTTTAGACTGGGAAGCAGAGAGCAGATGCCTGATGAACTGGGGGGACCTTGCAGATGTTTGGCCTTTTCCTGGTCCTCTGCGAACAGCTGGACCTTTCTCCTCCACAGCTTTAGTTATTTATTCTGCCACTGCGTCTTCCTCTTTCCCACACACAGCCACAGGACCTGGTGCTGTTCCCACTGCACTCACAGGAGAGTATTCCCTCAGATGCAGAAGGGAAAGCTGTCACTCCATTATTATTATTATTGGCATTGCTGGAAGCCTCCCTCTGGCAGAGAGAGAAGAATGCAAAGACAAAAATCTGTGTCCTCAGCAGCATATGATTCTGGATGATGTGGGGAATAAACAACTCTAGGTTTGAGGGAGAAAAAGAGGAAAAGAACATGAAAGCCAGGTTACACTCCTTTTAAGCACAGTGTCCCTACAGTGCACCTTTGGAACCTTCTCTCACCCCTGGAGCTTTGCAAGTCAAGTTTCACTTACTGAGAGCTGGGCAAGCTGTGGGAGGAGGCAGGAAAGTCCATGTCCAGGCAGAGCAAGTCACTGCCACCCACTGCTGACCACCTTCAGTGTCACAGAGCAAGGTGGGAGCCATGTGGGCAAGGGACCATCCAGGCCCACACAGATGCACCAGCAGCCACAACAGAATTGGGCTCTGGGGTTACCAGCTGACCAGGGGCTGGTGGAGGACACAACCCACCCTCAGCACTCCCCTTCTCCTGACTGATTTAACCAGGTTGTCCCTCTGTGAATAAGGTATAAGGTGGGCAAAAGACTCATTAGTATTGATTATTGTTCAGCACCAAGACCAGCATTTTGGTTGACTTTCACCTGACAGCAACCTGAACACTTGGATGTATTTCAGGTAATGAGAGTGACTGCACTGAGTTCTGTCAACAGAGAGGTATCAAGGCATCTGCAGAAAGCAATTCATGCTTCAAGGCAGGTGAGAAGACTTGCCTTCCAATGGCAAGTCTCTCCATGGAGGCAGCCTGTGCCAGACATGTTTGGAGGTAGGAAATCACAAATCACACCAAGACACAGCCTGCCTTCAGCTCTTATAGTGAGAAATCTCCACCTGTTACCATATGTTTAAGAAGAGAAAATAAACAGTCCTTTGTTGCAGCAGCTACTCATTCCCCCTTTGTACAGCTGTGAGCACCATGAGTCAGCCTACGAAGGGGCTGTGCAGTGAGACACATGCCCAGCTCGGTTATTTCAGATGCGGCGGCGCAACGTGCCGTGAAACCACAGCTCTGAGCTCTTCCCTCAGCACCCGTGCAGCTCCTGCGCCGGAGCATCGCCCGCTGCAGCCACCAGGGACAGGGCTGCCAGCCCGCTAATGGCCCACCCCGAGCAGCACAACACTTGAGTAATGTAAATACAAGTAATTAGGCAGAAATTAGGTGAGTCCATCGTGGTTATGTTGGGAAGCAATAGCAGAGCCATAGGCAGAAGTGATGTCTCCCAGGCCCCAGCCTGGCTGCTGGCTTCGATCAATCTGTGCCATTATAGATGCACTTGCAAGGTTTTAATCCACCCCAAAATTTCCCCTCTTATGCTTTCTAAGGAGCTTTAAACATTTCACTGTTACACTTCTAAATATACCAATATAAAATTGTTCAAAGACAACAGACACCTACATCGGCACAAACATGTCAGCGTGAATAGAAACTCAAAAATTTTTGCCACTGGCTGCCTGATGCCTTTTGGGTACGAGCTGAGGAAAACATCCTGTTTCATGCAGCAAACACCATTCTCACTTACAGGCTAACCTTTAAAATTTTAAGTGCACTTCACTTTTTGCTGGGATCAGGCTCACGTCTCAAGTCTTTGTTTCCAGGAGATATATTTGCCAGCCAACAAATGAATTGTAGCACAGTAATTGCCTCCCCCCCTAACAGACACAGTTGTTTAGACATGAAGATTTGCAGCTTTGAAACTTCTAGACTTGAAGAAGAGCTCACATATTCAGTAAATGAGACTCTTTGGGGGAAAAACACAGAAAAATACGAAAAAGCAAAACACCGTATCTTTCACAGAAACAATAAGTTAATTAAACCTATTAAACAAAAAAACTGGGCCTACACTGTTCTTCCCAGATCTCTGGCTGACATCTGAGGACTATATGTCAGATGCTGATTTCAATTTTCTCCTTACGAGCAAAAATAACCCTTTCTGATTGTCATCCTGATCATTTCTGATTCTGAAGCTGGTTTAGAATCAGTTTGAATCACCTGAGAAACACAGCTCGGCCCTGACTCAGAGACCAGACTAAGGACAGTGATGGAGAGAACCCCCATTGATGTGTTTCATTCTGATCCAGATTCCATTTGGCAAAGTACTGAGCAGACAGGCACTGCTTGGTCAAGTATTTACCTTCTGCTGCAGAAAGCCAAAGCTTTCTACATTGAAACAAGTAAAATTTACATCTAAACCCTAATTCATTGAGCACTAGGCTAAAATCCTGTTGATGGAGGCTACCATGAGCCTGTATTCCACAGTGACCACTGCAGGAGCCTGGAGAATATCACAGTATTACTACGTGGTCTG